TTATCGGCTGCCATAATTTCCAGGTTCACTTTTCCAAGTACAAAAATTTCTAGGCATGAGATTGTTAACATTAATTATATAGCCACATATTAATCCCAAATAGGTAAAAGCTGGATTTTTCGTTAATTTTGGAATCCTGTCCAATTAAGAAATTAATTGGACAGGTTTTCAATTGGGTTTTGGCTTTTACCTATTTGGGATCAATATGTGGCCATATAATTAATAGGTAATAAGACTCCATGCTGTCCAATTAAGAAATAATTAGACTCGAAACATTCCTCTGACTGCCAAATTTTGGCAGTCCTCGGAATTTTCCTCGTCCAATTATTTCTTAATTGGACAGCATGGAGTCCTATTACATATAAAAATAATAACACTTACAAGATGATGGACGCTTTTCGATGCAATTTCGAAGCTTCGGAATGTAACCCCTGGCTAAAATACGCGCGCGACTTGGACGATTTTTGAACTCGATCCTCTATTTCACGCCGATTGCTGTTGTCCACAGGTAACCCACCAGACATTGTAGCCGTGGCTGAGATCATGAAGTACAACGATCGTCAATTCAACGATTTCGAGATTGCCGTTCGTGACACGTTGCATGACAATATGCATTGTAGGATAGGGGGGAGGGGAGGTACAATGTGTTCACTCTCATCTGCTAATGCTCCCGAGTTTCTACTTCATCACGGCTTTACTGATAAACTGTGGAGTGACTGGCAGAAGAAAGGTTGGAACTACAAGAATGCGTATTTCAAGGTACTACCTTTTTTGCGCATGAGCTACTGATGCTGCCACCTTAAAAACGCAACAAAATCCATGTTGAAGAAAAATGTCATCAAGGACGGATCCCGGGGAATGATTTGGGTGGCTACCATCCCCTTATTAGGGTTCAAAAATAAAGRAATAGAAATGCTATCAAAAAATAATACTAAAAAATCATATAAGTAGGAATGATTTTGATTCTGAAAAACAACTAAAGCAGCTTTCATCTGAAAGAAATCTCATTTTCCGCAGCCCTAAATTTAACTATTTTAGTATTCTTTTCTTGAGTTAGCCACACCCCATAACGTTCCAGATCCGCCAAAGGACATAGAGCCGTTAAATCCGGTAGATTTAGTCAAGAACTGGACTGAGTATATTAGGTTGTACTTATATGAACTGCTTTCGTTCTGTTTTAGCGGGTTTTTAGTAGAATGACCGATACTGGGCTTAGACCGGACGCCGTGTTGGAYCTAAATCACCAGCCCGGTGGTGTGAGGGTGATATATCAAGACCCTACGCACAGTAAATATCAAGAAGTCCATCGGTATTTACAACAACTGACATTACAGGAACTTAAAGACATACCCAGACACAGGTAACCAAAAACTCTAATCTTTGACAAACCCAACACTCTCGTAAAGGRCYACCTCGGTAAATAGAGAGGTCGTAATTACATTGTAGAGCTTGCTCTTGAAAGTTGATAGCCTTTTTCCTCGGGGGTCGATTTACAGGTATTATGTACAGATCAATGAATTTTTTGCACATTTTATTTAACAATAACAAAAGAAAAAAAAAGGAAAAATGATATCGCTGCGAGTAGGGTTCGAACCTACGCGGGAAGATCCCATTGGATTTCAAGTCCAACGCCTTAACCACTCGGCCATCGCAGCTTTAGATATTAGTATTTCTTTGATCGCATGAAGGACTCCTATTCAAATTGAACCTTGTAATGTACTGCCATGGGAATACATTACAAAGGTACAATTCTAATATGAGTCTATCAAGTAAAAACATGTTCATCAAAAGCTGCGATGGCCGAGTGGTTAAGGCGTTGGACTTGAAATCCAATGGGATCTTCCCGCGCAGGTTCGAACCCTGCTCGCAGCGCAATCATTGCCTTTTTTGTCAAAACAAATCTGAAAAAAAAATCAAAATTTTGTACATTGTGGACAAACGGAGAACCTTTTCTCAGAAAAATAATTTCTATCATTTTAGGTTCACCATCACACAATCATTGGAGTTYAAACTGTTCATGGTAAACTCAAATGAGAAGAAAAAAGCTCTAGCTCAACAGAAAGCTTTCGAGCCAAGGAACGTGCTGAGCTCAAAGACTCGTCTTCGTTCCACTGATAAAGAACTCGGACTTCGYGTGAATGACTTACGAAAAGCTGTGAAAAGGAAAAGGGAAATAGAAGAGAAAAGAAAACGGGAGACTGAAGAGAAAAGGAAGCGGGAGATTGAAGAGAAAAGAAAGAAATCAATTGCACACTGAAAGGAAACCACGGAATCCCCATAAAAACGACTAAGATTGTTAAAAAATACCCAAAATATTATTTCTTGGTGCGTAATTAGAAATGGYKASTTCTCGGTRAATTACGATCACAAAACACTTTGTAACAGCATAAATGTTARTAWCTTTCATAGACTTTTTGTATTTTTGTAGCTTGATAATTTTTAGATACTAAAATAAAAWAATCTAACCAAAATGTAGATTGTACGAGGCTCTTGAGTAAAATAGCCGCTGTGCAGCGACGCCAATTCGTGTAGAACAGAGCATGATGGGAAATGTGGTTCTCGTATGCAAAAATAAACATATTCTGATTCAAGAATTACATAATTTTTAAATTTAATTCAATATCCTATTTTCTAATTAAAGATTCATCGTCATCCACGATTTCGTAAAAGAAATATGAACAAAATCAACAAGCACTTCTTTGTTTATATATATATTTTTTTATATTTATAAAAACATCACGTCTACTTGATCATGTTCAATCATTCCCATGAGATTTAAAAGACAAAAGACCGGCGGCCATGTTGGAGGAATGAACAATAGATACTAATGAGAAATCTCTTGTTGAAGTTTCTCCAAGATGGCCGCAAAAGGATAAAACGATCTACGACCGCTGTGCATCATRGTTGACTATGTACCTTTAAGAAATAAATACAATTTACTTTGGTGCTTCGAATTTTCCTTCTTTGAACATTCTTTGCCACTCAGTACCATTTGGATATTCGAARGCATCGAGAGATTGAGATTTCATTTCTGCACTGTAACCTGGAGACTGGAAACAAAAATGTGCTAATTAATAGTGACGTAACGGAGCACGTTGCATACAAACATACTTACCATTGGCACCTTGTATTTGCCATTATTCAAAATCACAGGATCGACAAAGTGTTCATGTAGATGGTCGGCAAACTCGATTACTCTACGAAAAAAAAGACGTAAATTATAAAGCATTATTTCTTTGTCTTTTTTCTGRCTTTCATTTCAAGGATGAACGAGATTGGCCTCTGTTGCAGACGTCCTCTGATGACACATAGTGTCTGCAACGAAGGCTAGAACAAGATAACTAAGAAATCCATAACGTTGAATGCTGAATACTACATCATGCATAGCGTATTCCAAGACTGAAATGCATTGCTGCTATTAAACTCCGCGTTAGCTGCGTWTACAAAATGAAGATTCCAAACTTGATTGCTTTCCATTGAAGTTTTTGACGGAGCTGGTATCATCACTCCTAAACCACAAAAACAACCAATAATGCATTTCGTTTTTGGAATACAYTTCTTCCGTATTCGACGTTTTATGAAGTAGCTGTATAAGATCAGGCGCAATAATCATTTTAAAATAATGTCAGTCTTTGTTAGTAGTTTATACGCACACTCTTAAATATAAGATTTTCCACATTGCTTAGTCCCTCTTTTTGTACCTTATTTTAAGTTTAATATCCTACCTCTTGTCTAGAGAGGCCGATACACAGAGATAATCAAATATTGAGATGTGCTGTACGTATTCACACAAGCCAACACCACCAGCATGAGGGCATACGGGTACTAAAAAATTCAACATTTTATCGTGATTAAAATGAAACCAAATATCAAGGAAGGAGGAACGAGCAAGACAGTTCAGAATGATGAGTAAAAATTATTAAGATTTATTAGAGAGCAGAGAGGCAGTGATCCAACCTTAGTTCAGAGGCACTTTCGAAGAAGATGATGATAAGGATAGAAGAGGAACAGAAAGAATAGAAGGATAGAGAGACAGAAAAAGGAAGATCATAGCAATATAAAATGGTAGAAAATCATTCAGAAATCAATATCATGAACTTGTCAAACTTAAGTAGTGATATTAAGAGAAAGGCACAAAATTATTTATGAAATGTCGAACGTTTTCACTATGAGTTCATCATCAGCCAGGACATTATCATGTTGCTAATATACATACCTCCAAATTTGGYAGCCAAGAATAGTACAGATAGTATCTCATTTAATCCYCCCAACCTRCAGCTATCAATTTGACAGAACTGCATTGCACCAGTTTGTAAGAACTGCTTAAACATGACACGATTTTGGCAATGTTCACCAGTTGCTACGCCAATGCCATGAGGTGCTAAAGCCTTAGATATTGCTGCRTGTCCTGGRAAGTAAAGTTGCAARGACATCATGTGTTTCAACTCTTAAAATGCATTTTAAACTATGAGAAATCACAAGTACCTAATACATCATCAGGTGATGTTGGTTCCTCAATCCAAATGGGTTGAAACTTTGCTAATTGTTTCATGATATCAATGGCTTCTCCAACATCCCATCGTTGATTAGCATCCATGGCCTTAAAGAGAAAAAGAAAAAATGACTTCGTACTTTTATAAAATATTGAGAACAATGATAGATCCTCTCATTGTATAGCCCTTGCCCAGCCACACCAAAACTATTCTTATGTTTGAGGAAAATAACAACAGTTTTGGTTCGGCTACATGCAGGCTTCTCACTGTACTACATTGGAAATGAAAACAAAGAAAAGAAATCAAGTAAAGAACTCAAATTGCAMTCAGCAGTTATAGCAATTTTCATGAAATTAATGTCTGTAAGTTTTTCCAAGGTACTTTTAATTAGAAAAACTCACTTCATTCCTCTGGAAACTCCATACATACTCTGCAAGGATACACCTTATTTTTGAAATTAGCCAATCTTACCAAAAATTTATCTGGTCCTAATGTTTTTCTWAGAATTTCTGCTCGCCGCATGTCATCAGGAATATCACCACCAACTTTCATCTTGAATCTAAAATATTTGTTCATTTATTTCCCAACCATTACCATTAAGTAATATCCATATGAAAATGGACAGCACAAAAGGTAGCTAAAGAATTAAGACCCTTTTGATGCAGCGAGTGAATTAATTGCCTCTTTTGGAAGACTGGATTTTCCCGCTAAAGACAAAATCCCTTTTGTACTTTCTCATATAAATTTCTTATTTATTTTCATATTTGCTAGCTGCATAATTATTAATACTACTCTGCTTTAATAATATCCAAATATTTATCCCAGAACTTGGCATCACCCAATATAATAATTATAATCTATGGCAATTATTGTTATTTATAGCAAATTGACAAATTATTTAGTATACCTTGTAAATCCTTTTGCCATGTATTTTTGACAAAGATCCACAATTTGTTCATCTGTGTAACCAATCCAGCCAGCTGAAGTAGTGTACGCAGGGTAACCATCAGARAGAAGTTCCTTCTCTTGAAAACAAATTTCATTATTTTTAAAATAGTAAAGAAAAATAGAATTGATTCATTCATTCACATTGGCGACGAAGTAACCTAATAAATGATAAATACCACAGCATAAATGAAATGGAGCAAGAACAAATTCAGATTTTTATCTTGGTCTCATAATTTCTTCTGAACTCCATGTCATCATCCTGTGTGATTTCTCAATTATTAATTGAGTATTAATCAATTTTAATTTTAATTTAATTTTAATTTTAATTTTAATTTATTTTTCTTAAAAGAACTATTGTACCTCTGTCATGTTTAGTAGGAGAATTTCTCTTGAGCATTTCTGATGAAAACAAAAAAAAATGGAGAAAGTTGATTCACATCATGCTAGCCTGTGCATCAAATTTAAATTCAAAGCTAATATAATGCATTCATTGAGGACCATAAAAGATTATAAATACTGATTTACTTATGGAGGCTTTCAATTCTCACAATTTTTTTACACTCAGATAAACATTGTGTATAATTTATCTACCAAAAAATATGTCCTGCCTCTACTTTCTGAATTATTYCTGATCTTTTATTTAAAATCTGATCCAACAGCAAACTGTATATTATTATTATATTTTGACAATTTGTTTTTAAACTTACCTATGGCTTCCTCTTTTGTCATTACATCAGATCTGAAAATTTAAACAAATTTGAATTAAAAGTGGGAAAYAATATTAATTGCAAAGAAAAGAATTGCGAGGCACTCACAAATAGCTGAAGTCTATAGTTGATACAAGTTGTTCAGGGCTCTAGATAATCAAAACAAAACAAAAAGTTAATATGAAGTGTTTTATCCCTAGCAATGCAAGACGGTGAGAAAAAAAGGTTAGTATTAATTATAGAGATTGTTTTGATCTTAAAAGGGYCTTGGTGTCTCAGCWAATTATTAAAMAAAATCTATTGTACTAACCATATCAGCAAGAAGCTTCCACACAGGCTAAAATAAAAAGTTATGGATATGTTAACAATAATTAATTTCAGATTAATTGCGTGTACATCCTATGACATTGATGAATACTAATTATAATAATAGTTGCATTAACTATACCTTTCCTTCCATTCTACCCCATAAATCCCATAATGCATTGATAACACCAGCTAAAGCAAGATGTATTGAGCCTTTCTCTGGACCAAGCTAAACAAATATATAATAAAATACCAAATTTAATATCCCAACATTCATTATTGAAACTTGAAAAAAGTGAAAATGAGTCAAATATCATTCTACATTTAGGATTTGGTTATACTTGCATCAGACAAAGCAGTTTTTGTAATAGACAACTCCCATTAGATAAGCATGCAATGCCAAACACTCTACCTCCTAATCTCCTCTCACAGCCGTTAGGACGTTCGCTCCCAGGTCACTCCCCCCTAACGCTGTTAGGGGGATTGACCTGGGAACGCGGTAGGGGGAGTGACCTGGGAACGAACGTCCTAACGGCTGTGAGAGAAGACTATCTACCTCCCGTCAGGCAGTGTTGTGACGCTTTGCTAAAATATTTGCCCAAAAACGTTCCTGCAATATATCTGAGACTGTAATTGCAACTCCAAAATTGTCTACTACAAAGTGACTAATGTTAGGTATCTCTGTGTGTGAGGCTGTATTTACTGAAAACAGTGCTGCAAATACATTATGGCCCTAATCAATTGATTTGAATCAAGCAGTAAATAAACTCAATTCAAAGAAGTTAATGCATTTATAAGTTACATCTTGTCACCCACCCATCTCAACTGTTCTTCGTGTGCTAGCTCTCTCCACAAAGTACCAAAATCTGTAAATATTTCCTCTGTACATTTCCCMGTTATCATATTCCCATATACAAGTGCAGCAGCTAAAACTAAACATYAAGCAATTAATCAAYCATTTAATCACTCTCATTTAATTAATATTCAAAATGTATACTTGTTTGTGATTGGCCAATARCACCCAATTAMTATAAATTTTATGTTCTTAACATCGGCAAGTCAAAATYTTTCARGCTGCCTTCTTAAMGTTTTTTAAAATGTTCGCGTGACATTAAAGAAYTGATATGAGAATTATAGTGATGATGATGATGATKAATGTTGTCATGGCCTTACCTAACTCTGTGCCACGACCTAAAGTGAAGGTGAAACCATAACCTTTTAAACCATCAGGTCTATCAGTCTTGATCACAATATAAACAGCAGAATAATCTGGGGCTTTGTGCTGTAATAAAGACATTAAGAAGAGATAGTCAACTGAGAGGAAGAACCAAGCGCATCAACCTTGTTTTTTTAAATTTACCACTGCGTCAGATCCATGGAGCTCCAGGGATGTGGGAAAACGTATATCCCGAGCTGTGACTTCTGTWATCCTCACCATCCAGTAACAATTTTTTTGATGTTTAATATATGGCAAAAGTTTGAACGAAAATATTGGACGCCGGAGCGCAAATTGATTTGCAGCGATCTCGTGACACAATTATCGAGAAGGACTGGGTTTGATAGTCCGCTGTTCATGATGACTGAAGACCCGGCAATATAAAAAATTGCGGGAAGCAAAAGCATTTGGGGATTCTTTAGAGGATGTTCTATTTTTTGCACCTTTGAATGAGAATTTCAAAATTGACATTCTTTGACTGTYTGAAGAAAGAGGAATAGAAAGATCTCGTCAGAATTTCATGGAAGAYTCATAGGTTTTCTGCGCATAATGTTCCTGTAATTTACCCGCTACACTCTCTCATTTTGACACGTTTTGTATGTTAACAACTTGTCATGAATTTCGATGAAACTCAAGCTTTGGATTCAAGTAACTACGATGAATCTGATGAAGAGCAAGAATTTGAGAGGAACAGAAAATTGGTAAGGAAATGGTWAAGTGATATAAAAATAGGYTGCCTTGCTTGTCAACGCGATTGTGCACACCGTTTGAGCAGCTGCCGTTTTGTTATCCATTTAAGTTTAAGTAATTTCTCTACTATACTAAAAGACTAATGCGAAAACATTGCACATGGGGCTGGCCACTCACTAGGCAAGAATAAAAAAAAACATGGCCAACATGAGTGACTGTGGCGGCATGGATTCTCCTTATTTATGCTTAATATTTATATGCTGAAGTATTGYGTGGACCACATTCAGTGAGAGCGAAAAGTAAGAGTTGAAAGGAGGGAGGATTTTATGGAGAAACATCTGGAGAATTAAAATGTTAATTATGGTAATAATCTATTTTTTCCCTACTTTGCACTAAGTAAACAGCACAAAGTGTTACTCTCTTCTAGTGTTTTTTTAGTCTGAAACTATTAGCTGCTTGAATAAATCGATGTGTGCCTCCCCTTCCACAGCCCTGTGACTACAGATTTCATATCTATTGACATACTAATAAATACTAATAAATAATAAATACTAAATAAATATAATTACATGTCTATTGACATACTAATAAAAACTAATAAATGCTCAATACTAATAAATATGATTATCTTCAAAGGTTGGACATTTGAAGGTTTTTAAGCAGCTAGATTTAGAAGAAAAGGTTTATAAAATATATGAAGGTATGGCCTGGCATGTTACCTTTCATCTACAAAAAAATATAATTGATAATTAATATTTTTTTACATCAAAGGAGAAAATTTTATTGGTCGCGATGAAGGATCTGATGTTTATATTCCTAGGAAGGTAAAGTAATCTTCATAACTTTTTATAAATTGTGTTACAACAGTAACAAAAATATGCAGAATCCAATGTGTCAGTCAAAAAAAACTGAATTAGGCGCTGTTTATTTGGGAAAACGTTGTCCCTGGTAAAAGGGTAACCCTCCTATCTGAGCCAACTTTACCAAGTGTTTATATAGATAAAAGTTGTTCATTGGGACAACTACTGATGTGAGAGGGAGACTGGGAATGATTTAACCCAATATACATTCTCAAGATGTGTAGTTGTGTCAGATTTGTCTTGGCTGAAGAAGGTCTTATGGAGAAAAGTAGACTGGGTGAGAGATTTTAAAACCATTGTTTGCAAAGAAGGTAAACCTACCAATAGAGTAGACCCTTCTACCCAAGGTAATAAGTTAAAATTACTCTTGTACACTCCATTAATAGCAAAATTATAGTAAATTTGGCTCACCTAAGGTAGCTTGGGTTGGAGGGTAACAATGCTAACATGGACATCGTTTTAAACAGGGTCTGAGTGAGTTATTACTCATTTTGTTGAATCTTTTTTGCTTCATTTTCTTTTATGCATGTATTATCCTTTTTTCCCCATTAGTCACTGTCTAAGAGGCATGCCTGTATAGAAGTTTCTGATAGTCTTCACCTCATCTATGATAATAGCAGTAAGAATAAAACAAGAAGAGACAAGGTAAAGGCAACTAGAGGGAGCTA